TGCTTTCCCATGATGCGGAGGCCAGATTGGACCACGTACCATAAGGTGATGAAGCACCTCAAGGGAACCAAGAGAGCAGCAATTGATGCATGGACCCAAGGGTCCCTACGCACCCACACGAGTGGGGGCAGAGCGGTGTGTCCATTGTGCATGGTCCCTGTCTCCATGAAGCATCTCATTTGGGAGTGCTGCTATCACGAAAAACCTCTGCCGGTTGAGTGGGTTCAGCAAATTGCTGCAAATGAGGACGCTATGCTGTGGGCCAGAGGCATGATTGACAGTCCTGCTCATCGGCCGACTGTCGGTGTTGATTCCCTGTGCACAACTGGCATATTTGCAGATGGTTGGCCCACTCGCATTGGACCGAGCTGCCGGGTTGCAATTGGCGTCAAGGCCACCTGCAAAGATGTTCGAGTGCAAAACTATGCTGTAGCAGTTGTTGTGGGGCAGTGGACAGATGGAGGTTGGAACACTATTGGCACCTGCACAGCCCTAGCACCTGGCAAGCCTAGTGAAGCCAGGGCATGGGTCTTTGGATGCTGGTTGATCCTGCAGGCCCTTTTGGGGCGGCATCAGATCAACATCCCTTGTCGAAGTGGATGGCAGGCACTTCAGAAAGGGGCGACCAATGAGCTCATTGCAGATCTATGGTACAACCTGGATGTCAAGGAGTGGTCCCGTTTGAGCACGCTCCATGTACCGACCAAGCTGCTGAAAGGAGACCATGGGGATCAGAGAGCGTGGCTGCAGTATCAAGCGGCACAGCACTGTGCCAAGCAACGGGCGGAGCAGGAGGAGCCATTTGACCTAGTTCGCACCCTGCAGGAGAATGATCGGTGGCACCAGCAGGTCTATGAAGTGGCGGCTGACAGGATTGAAGCCCTGTTGCAAGACAAGCAGCACTACATGCATGACAAGCTCTCCACGGTTGAAGCGGACTTCAAAGTCCGGGTGCGGGCACCCAAGGGTCGCATTGAGGTGATGCAACAGCTCACACAGCGGGTGAGGAAAGAAGGCCAGCATCAGTGGGCCTTGAAAGGCGGCGGAGTGCAATGCAGTGCATGTGGGATGAACATCAAGGCCTGCTCCACCCATGCAGAGATTGAGAAGAAGGACGGCACCATCTGTGCAGGGCAGCGCAGCCTTTCTTTAACCCAACACATGCAGCAGTTGGTTGAGGAAAGTGCCATGCTCCCGGATGACACTCCGGGACACAGATGGATGCTCAGGGCTAGTGCCTTCAGTTGTTTGCGGTGCTGGAAAAAGGTACCTCGGCGCTGCGGTAAAGATGCTCTTCGTGTTCTGACCGCTCTTCCATGCCAGTATCAGCAAATGCATGAACAGGATCTGCAGCTTCGAACCAGGATCCATCCCAGTCATGCAATGTGGCGGAGGGGGGACTGGCTTGCTTGTAGCAAGTGTGGCAAAGTCACGAAGGAGATCCAGGGAAAAGTTCAGACGTGGACCAAAGCCCAATGCAGTGCGGCTACGAGCCAGCAGAAGCTGAGGTTTGGACCTAGCTCCAGCAGCTAGCTTTGCTTTGGATGGGTTACAAGGCGAATGATCCTTGGCCCTTGTTGGACCACTTTTGCCGCAAGGTGTGGTCGCGCCATTGACTTGGCATGAGTAAAAGAACCGAGAAAAAAAAAGAAAAAAAAGAGACAGAGAGAGAGAGAGAGAGCCTTTGCCCGTGATCCGAGATAGGGGAGGACCTTGTGAAGTTTGCCAACATGATGCAAGGTTGGGGATCCGAGGAGGAAGGCACGCACCTACTACGTGTGCAATGGCTGCACGGCTTCTTGGATATGGGTGACCGGGCCTCTGGGACAAGATGGGGTTGTGACAAATGCAGCACCAAGTGGCCAACAGGCAGAGAGCCTTGGCAACCGGCCAGGTCACCATCCAAGAGGGTCAGGAAGCCTCGAGGCGCCTCCAGGGCTGGCAGGCAAAGGGAAGCAGCCGTCCAATGTGGTGGGAGGAAGGCATGGGCCATCACCCTCCCAGTGGAGTTCCAGTGAAATCCAGATTCAAGAGCTGGAGCACTGTTTTCCCTTGATGAGGAGACCGGATTGGACCACGTACCGCGAAGCTATCAAACAAAACGCGAGCGCGGTGGATGCCTGGACTCAGGGCTCATTACGCACCCGTGGCCATGGGGAAAGGGCAATCTGTCCACTATGTAATGCCCCGGTCAGCATGAAGCATTTGGTGTGGGAGTGCTGTTGTCATGAAGAGGAGCTGCGGGCTGCATGGCGCAGAAGCATCCAGGCCAATGAGAATGGCATGTTGTGGGCCAGTAGAAGGACCAGACTCCTGTGAAGTCACTGGCATTTTTGCCAAAGGATGCCTTGTCAGGTTACCCCAAGTCAGCGTTTGGCCATTGGAGTCCATGCGACCTGCAAAGATGAGCGCATCCGCAAGTATGCAGTGGCTGTCACGGCAGGACAGTGGCAAGATGGGTCCTGGCAGATTGTTGGTACAATTTCAGCATTGGCTCCCGGGCAGGCGACAGGCTCGGGGCTGGTTCTTTGGACGACACCAGCTCAACATCCCTGAGAAGGCTGGGTGGTCGGCCTTGAAGAAGGGCTATGGTGGAACCACTGCGCCAGACCTCTGGCGCAACATGCCTGAAGAGGAGTGGCGACGGCTGACCCTCCTCAATGTGTCTCAAAAGTGCATGAAAGAAAGTGGAGGAGACATGTGCCAAAGTTCGTGCAACCAAGGAGGCACCCACTGCACTGGAAGCTGAACTACGTGATGAGGACACCTTTCATCCAGCTGTCTATGCAACTGCAGTCAAGGGATGTTGGGTGACAAGGACCATTTCATGCATGGGTCCTTTGAGACTGTTGAGAGCTCTGTCAAGGGCCCAAAGTCCAAGCCCCATGCTCGTCTTGAAGTCTTCCGCCAACTTGTGCAGCGGGAGCAAGAGGAAGGGCTTCATCAGTGGCAACTCCACAGGCAACGGGTTCGATGTGCAGCATGTGGCAAACGCATAAAGAGCTGCTCCACCCATGCCGAGATCAGCAGCAAAAAAGATGCTCTGTGCCCAGGAGTTGTGACCAAGACGCTGGAGCAACTAATGCAAGAGCTTGTGGACGACACTTCCAATCTGCCTGATGAGCAGGAAGGCCACAAGTGGTATTTGAAGGAGAGCAGTTTTGGACGCTGTCGTTGCTGGCTTAAGCTGCCCAGGCGGTGTGGCAAGCAGGCAGTTCAGAGTTTGCAGGCTCGACCATGCCACTTTGGGAAAGTGCAGGAAGCCGCACTGAACTTGAGGTCTCGCATTCACCTGCAGTCATGACTTGTGTCGAAGGGGGGAGTGGATCGAATGTCACCAATGCAAGAGGACCGCAAAGGTCATGGAAGGCAGAGTTCAGACTTGGATGTCCATAGCTTGCCAGCAGATGAAAGGCCAGCAGAAGATTCGATTTCCACCCTCCACTTCGCCAAGCTAGATGCTGCGTGATCGGTGGCTGATTTTGAGGTACAGCCCCAGTCCAAGGCGAACGATCCTTGCTGGGTGCTGCTCTTGAGCTCGAAAAGAACCGAGAAGAAAAAGAGAGAGAGGGGGACAGACAGAGAGAGCGAGGGAGGGAGGGAGGGAGGGAGGGAGAGGGAGAGGGAGAGAGAGAGAGAGGGACAAAGCAAAAAACAGAACATGGAAGAAAGAAGAGAAAGAAAGAAAGAAGGACGCGACAAAATATAGATTTGGACACATAGAAGAATACTGTAATGCCCACTCCGCTCACTCAAGTTCACGGGTTAAGCAATGTGCTTCAGGTTGGGAGGGAATTCCTCTCGCGCCGAGCATTTGACAAAGTGAGGCCATGGATCGCTTGCTTATTCCATCATTACTGATGCGGAAGTTCTATGTGGAGTTGGTGCTCCTAAGCATGACCGCAGATGTTGAAGCTCTTGAGTTGTTTGGAGAACTGACGGGCCACGTTTGTATGACTGAGTGAGCATACAGTATGAGGCTTATTATTATGGCTGCCTCTACACACAGGGGGGCACTCAACTGGCCATAGGCTGACCGAAAGACAGTGCGAGAAGCCGGAAAAGGCCACTGCAGACATTGGCCTCTATCATCGAGGGTCCCAGCGCAGCAATTTGCTCCCATGCTGCGCCTGCAATTTCCTCGAAGGCTCCAGATGACTCCTGTCGACGCCGATGGCTCCTGTCCACACTCGACGGGAATCGTCGGAGCCTTCGAAGTACTAGCAACGCGCGGGTAGCTTTTGGTCGACATTTCAGGTTTGGACCTGCCGACCTTGTATACTGCTCCAGGGTTTTGGCTACCGCTGTGTTGGGCAGCCGGTTGTGGCCCGATGGCTACATTCAGGTGATCCAGGTGTTCCTGGCTGCCAGGAGTACCTGGATCACCTGAATGCGGCAGTTCAACATCACCAGTGCTGAACAGCACTGGATTTGGCAGCCATGGCCGGCCATGGCAAGGTGATCTCAGAACTCCTGGCAGCCGGAGCGGCTGGCGGGCGCCAAGTTCCATCAAACGCTGCACATTCCGCTGCGAGTGGTGGCCACTTCCAGGTCACCGGAGCTCCTGGCCGGAGCGGAGGTGAAAAGCGATGGAGGTTGGCCTTGCATCGTGGCACTTGCTTACTTGTAGGTCTGTAGAGACGATCGCACTTGTGAGAAAGAGGCCTGCCCCATATGACTGGCAAAGAGCATGTCCTGACATCCTTTGTCTAAAGTATAAATACAATGTGTGACTGCATGTGTTTGTGTGCGTGTTGGCTTATTACTGGCTCACTGGCACTGCAGGGCCCGCCGGAAAGAAAGCCAGAGGCCGCCAACGGCGTCACGTTTTGAATCCACTTTCAAGGACCACTTAATGTGTTTCGGAGATCGTATTTCGTATTATTTAGCACTTGAGACTTGAAATGGAACATGACGAACGGAGTTGAGTCTCACTGCATTTCTTTGGCTCCAGCCTTCTTGTGGGATTCCGGGCTTGCTTGCTCGTGGTTGAGCAGCAGATGTGGCAGGGTCCGGGTTCAAGACCTCAGCCACAGTTCCTGGCGGTGGCCCCCCAAGCATCCGAGGGCCGGCGCTCAGCTCCGCCGGGGTCACTGTTACCCGGCTTTCAGCAGGTGTTTCAAGCACGACCCGGTGACTTGGCAGTGGTGGAATTTCATTGATATTTTGTTTGATAGTGTTTCCTTAATTTTGGAGGACAGGCCTTTTCATACATGTGCTTCCTAGCTTGGCCATGCTTTGTCAAACCTGGTTGGAAGCCTTCCAAGAGTGCGCTCGTTGCAGGTGACGGCCAGGAAGCTGAACGAACAGATGGCGATGCCTCAATCTCCCCCAGGCGGGATGCATCGCCCAGGCAGCCGCCGCTTGGTTCAACTTGTAACCTCACTGACAGGAAGCGACTGAACTCAGGGCACACCACATGATGTTCCAGTAAAGAATGGTCTTGACCTGACGCAAAATCTCGAGTGGTTCAATGGCTTTTGAACATGGAGAGCACTGTTACCAACTGCATGCTACGAGATGAATAATTCATATCAACATTGCTGACCGAGGTTCTTGATGCCAAATATGGATCCATTGGTCCGACAGCAGGGCCTGTTGTTCCAACAGTCTGAGTTTCTTGGCGCATGACTGCGGCCAACAGCAAAAGAGACCTGGCAAATTTTTCACATTGACGTCATGTTGACAAGCGCTTCTACATGCTCCTAACACGCTTCACGGCGCTGCCCTGGGAATCACATAGAATCATTCACTCTTGAGCTGACTCGCAGAACTACAGTAGTTAGTCAAGACCACTCGCTTTGGACACCTACCACTCCCGTCGCCCACCCCCTCGAGGCTTTTGCGGGAGCAGTTCATGAAGTTCGCCGAGGTTGGGGTCGCGAAGCACCGGGTCCCGTGCGGATGCACCCTCGGAGTCGGGGCACACAGATGGATACACAATATATGATATATAATATATATACATATTTCTGTAATATGTTATATATTGCTAATGGAAGTGCAGCGACACGTACAGTGCAACTTGTACATATATATGTACCATATGTACTTTGGCTCAAGGATCAAGCGACTAGAAAAGGTGCGGTTTCCGTTCCGACGCTACGCCGCTTATGGACCGTCAGTGATAGCTTCAAACTTCGCTGATTAAGATCCACTCGCAGGTTATCAGCCGTACGCGCTCTTTATAGCCGTACGAGCTACACGAGACCAAGAACAAGACTAGTCATTACAGAAACCTGCAATGTCAAGCTCAGGAGGAAATGGAAGCGAACCCTATTCATTCGCTGCTCCTGGTGGTCCCAACACCATTTCGTCACCAGACTCTACAATGGGTACTGATTCATCAGCAAATGCTGACGTTATCACTATGCCTACTGGATCACAAATCTCGGAAAGATCCGTGCCACCGGCTCGGAATCTGACCGATCTTGCACCCGTAGGACCAAGAAGATCGATGAGAGCTACAACAAGATCTACATCGCCTATAACGTCTACCGCGAGATCCCCAAGAAGGAGTATAGAGAAGAGACGTGACGATGATAGAGGAACAAAAGAGCAAAGAAGAGAGATTCAGCTGGGTGAAGAATTGAGATCGGCGAGAAACGCATACAATTTTCTTCATGAAGAATATGAATGCATCCAAGCCGGATACTCACGACTACACCACGAGGCTGAAGTGGAGTTCAGGCAAATGTCTGACTACAACAGGAAGATGCAGGAACATCTACAAGAGATGACACAGGAAGATGAAGGAGCGACAATAAGAATTGAAGAGCTCGAACACAAGCTACGCTTGGCGGAATCGACAGCTGAACATATCTACATGAGATATCAAGAGCTTGCACAAGAAACTCATCAAGAACATTCAGAGCTTGAATCTGTGAAAGCAACGAAGGACAGAATGTCCCAAGAGCTTCAAGCAGCAATTGGACACATCCAAGAACAGAATGAATCTTCATTGGCGATCAATAGAAGATCAAAAGCCATTCAGGATGAGAACACAGCCTTCGTCGGAATAGCTGACCAGATACAAGCTAGAATGATTGCGCTACAGGATGAGAATGTCAACATGCACGAGGTGATCCAACACCAGAGAGAAGAACAATGGAACAGTGAGGTCAGGGAAAGACGTCTTCAACACAGTGTTCACTCATCTCAAGATCAGAGCAATCAGGAAGCTATGGTTATTGATCATCTACGAGGTCAACTAGCTATGGCACGTGGAGCTGAACTCAACGCGAGAGCGGAGATAGAAGAGATGGAAGTGGGCATGAGGATGGAGATATTTGTATGCCAGACTGAAGTCTCTGCTAAAGAAATGGCAGAAATGAAGGCGAGCCACCATGAATACGAAGCAAACGTCGCAAAGGAGGTTATCGCAAAAGGAGAAATATTCAACAACGAAGTCCTAGAAGGTTCCATCCGTGAACGACAACAGTTGAAAGACGCCAACCTCGCTCTATCCGAAGCCAACGCACAGCTGAAAAGAGAGAATATGATGAGAGCTCCTATGTTCGGCGATGATGGTGCTGAAATTCAACAGAAGATCAGAGAACTGGAGAATGCACTATTGGAAAGCCAGAAGGAGACAAAGAATGTCATTATGGAAAATGCGAAATTAAAAGCAGAAGCACGAATGGCACCCATAGTCTCTCGGTACAGCAAGCGTCCTAGTTCCAGAGACCGCGGGTTACCAACCCACGCGTCCGAGGAAGATGAGATTCGGAACGCAAAAGAGGAGGCGAAGCACTACAAGGACGGGTACAATGAAATGACAGAGAGCCGAGATGAGATGTATGAATGGTATGCCGAAACCCACAATGAGTACGCCGAGGAAAGGGAGAAATCAATTGAGCTATCCGAGGCGAACAAATCATTGAGGGACAAGATTTCAGAAGCAGAAGCATCCTCTTCATCTCATCTTGCACCGGCAACCTCTACAATCATGAAAGTATCGAGGAAGGAAGAATCAAAGATAAACGTTCCGTCATGGCCCAGGATCAATGATCTTGGACTATGGAAGGCAAATCTCATTCAATCGATCATCATTGCGGCCAATGATTCAGATCAAGAGCCCTGGATCGACTGGATCAAAGAAGCCATGGACGATCCTGATCCGGACAAGTTTGTCGACTCAGGAGACCAAAGATTCCATTCAATCGATGCCAAACTCGGCCTAGCTCTTACCAAGGTCGTCATGGATGCGAAAGATGATGGTTCAGGTGTAGCTATGAAGTTGAGGACGAGGATCAATGCAAAAGGGAGAACATCAAGCCTCATAAAGGGAAGAGAGGTCCTAGCCCTGATCCTTATGAATTTCAAGACAACATCAAATGTGGAAGTCTTATATACTTCAATGCACCTCTACCAACTAGAATATCAAGGAGACAAGAACTTATCGTTGTTCTTCCACACTTGGGATGAGATTCTGGCAGGAATGAAGCCCGTTGACGTCCCGAGCGACGAAACTCTTCGGGATCTCCTATGGAGAAAGATCAGGAACTCAAACCTCATGGCATACGACATCAGCGCCTACAACAGCATGAACGACGATGATGCCAAGAAGACATACAAACATCTACGTGATATGATCAGAAGGCACATCGAACGGCAAACTGAAGACAGGATGATCCTGGAAAAGGAGAAGGCAGTGAAGAATGTGGCCAATATCTTTCAGAATCTCAAACCAGGCGGACCTGCTCCAAAACTGAAAGCTGCACCAGCTGATCCGAAGAAGAAACCAAAAGGGCAACAAGAACAGGTTGTCTCAGAAGACGCTGCTGCAGTGAAGCCGAAACCCAATCCCAAGAAGCATCCTGAAGACAAGAACAAAAAGGGAAAGGGGAAAGGTAAAGGTGATGGAAAGGATCGCAGCCGAAGTCCGAGTACAGACAAGAAGAAGATACCATGCAAATACTTCGTGAAAGGTAACTGCACTATGGGGAAAGATTGCCCATTCAGTCACAAGAAACCCAGATCACCATCCAGAGGATCTTCTGTCGGAAAGAATGACAAGCCAGTATGTTGGATGTGGATTCGAGGAACTTGTGACAAAGGGAAGGATTGCAAGTTCTACCATGACCCAAAAGCCTCTCCTAAGAAAGGGATATCTGCACCAGCTGACTCAGGAGACGATAGGCCAAAGCCCAAGGCAAAACCCAAACCGAAGCCTAAGGCGAAGCCTGGAGCCCCAGCCATTGACGGTGAACTCTTCATGGACGAATCCGAAGATGAAGGGATTGCTGCATCCGCCAAGGCAAGAGAAGGAGGTGCAAAAGTATCCTTTGATGAAGAGACTTGTGAGATCATGTTGAACGAAGCGATCTACTCAGTCAGGAACAAATGGAAGGTAGTAGAAAGGAAACCTCTACGTCCAGACATCAAACGATACGATGAGAAAGAGCTCACCTGCTACACGAGGAAAGAACAAATCAGATTTGAAGAAAAGGTCGCAGAGGCAAGAGGCATATTGATGGTCCCCTACACTGAGATCAAGAGGGTCCGAATACCAGTTGGACCAAAGGGTGACCTAGCGGTCACTATGTCTTTTGACGAAGATGACGGCCTAGTTTTCCATCATAAAGTCATTCCTCATGTATGCGAGGGAAAGAAAGATCATGCAGACACAAAGACATTGTCTATTCCAGCCAAAGGGTCAAGAACGAAGTTCATCATGGACACAGGATGTGGGTATGATTTGATATCGAAAGGCAGAGCCAAAAAATTAGGTCTGGAAGTGAGAGAAAGCGACCAATCAATGTCATTCTATACTGCAAATGGAGTGACATCCACAAAAGGAGTCGCCGACATTCATTTCGACGAATTTGACTCTACCTACTCCCCATTCGTCCTAGATGAGTCTCCTTCAGTACTGTCTGTTGGAAAGAAATGCATGGAGGAAGGATACACATTCATATGGCCAGCCTGCGGCAACCCGTACATGGTTTCCCCGAACTACAAGAAAATCATGTTAGAAGTAGAGGGAAACATCCCATATATTGTCAAGGGCAGTGACTTCTGTACTCCCACCGACGATACAAGGGCGGAGATGATCGCAAGGTTCACCCTAGGAGAAGATGAAGCTGATTACCAATCGACTTTCATCAACTGTGATGTGGATCCTCAAGGAATCATGTGTGATGATGACGACCTTCCTGTGATTGAGCCTCCAAAAGTCAAAAGGCGAAAGAGGAATAAGAAGTTCAAGGCATCTCCTGGAGAAGAAGATGAGGTAGGATCAGATGTCGCCGGAGACAGTGAACCAGAAGCTGACGATGATGATGCAGATGACATCGAGGTGGATGTTGTTGACGGTGCAAGTAGAATGGTGAGAAGAGGAACTCTGAAAGCAGATGCCAGGAAAATCGAGCATCTACTCACACATCGTTACAAGAATCCCTACTGTGAGTCATGCATCAGAGCAAAGATGAAACACTTCAAGACGCATCGAGGAGCGTTCAAGAGAAAGCTCAAAGCTTTTGGAGATCTGGTTACCTTTGATTTTGTCGATACGAGGAACATCCTTGATCAAGGGATCAGTACTGATCGAGAGATCTTCGTCATTCGTGACAGGTACACGGGCGTCATATGGGCCTATCCGTCGAAAGAGAGGTTTACCAAGGACGTGGTCAATGCAATAAACCACTTCAAAGGATTGAAGAAGATCAAGATTGCTTATGCCGACAAAGCCCCAGAGTTTGAGACGGCTATGAAGCAGCTGAAGATCCCATTCGATCACTCTCTACCGAATCATCCTCAGAACAATTCTCTGGCGGAGAGGAACAATCAGTTCATTATGATGACAACCGCAACTTGTCTCTTGGAAGCGGGGTTACCGCCATGTTTCTGGAGCTATGCAGTAGAATGCGT